AAAAAAAGAAAAATTTGGAATAAAATCTGTGGAGATTCGAGCTGAGCTTGGTGATTTTTTGGGGTGGGGGGGGTAAAAAAGGGATTTAGGGGGGTCCTTTGACCCCATTTTTGGGGTAATTTTTCCGGGTTTTGGGATTATTTGATAATTTTGGGGTTATTTTGTCCCTTTTTGGGGTTATTTGTCCTTTATTTGGGTTATTTTACCCCATTTTGGGGTGATTTTATCTTTTTTTGGGGTTATGTCTCCAATTTTTGGGATTATTTTGCCCCTTTTTGGGGTTATTTGTCCTTTATTTGGTTTATTTTTTGCCTATTTGTGATTTTTTTTTTTTTTACCCAATTTTTGGGGTTTTTTACCCCATTTTGGGGTTATTTTACCTTTTTTTGGGGTTATGGCTCCAATTTTTGGGATTATTTTGCGCATTTTTGGGGTTATTTTGCCCCTTTTTGGGGTTATTTGTCCTTTATTTGGTTTATTTTTTGCCTATTTGTGATTTTTTTTTTTTACCCAATTTTTGGGGGTTTTTACCCCATTTTGGGGTTATGTTACCTTTTTTTGGTGTTATGGCTCCAATTTTTGGGATTATTTTGCGCATTTTTCGGGTTATTTGTCCTTTATTTGGTTTATTTTTTGCCTATTTGTGATTTTTTAAACCAAATTTTTGGGTTTTAACCCCATTTTGGGGTTATTTTATCCTTTTATGGGGTTATTTTGTCCTTTTTTGGGGTTATTTCAGCCCTTTTGGGATTATATATCCTTTATTTGGTTTATTTTTTATCTGTTTGGTGGTTTTTACCCCATTTTGGGGTTATTTTTACATTTTTGGGGGTTATTTTACCTTTTCTGGGTTATTTTGTCCCTTTTGGGCTTATTTGTCCTTAATTTGCTTTATTTTTTACTTATTTGGGGCCTTTTTTACCCCTTTTTGGGGTTATTTTGCCCATTTTGGGATTATTTAACCCTTTTTTGGGATTATTTCTAATTTCGGGGGTTATTTTGCTCATTTTGGGGGTTATTTATCCTTTATTTGCTTTATTTTTTGCCTATTTTGTGGTTATTTTACCCATTTTGGGGTTATTTTACCCCATTTTGAGCTCATTTTCCTCCTTTTTGGGAGTCTTTTAACCCGTTTTAGAATATTTTTACCCATTCTGGGGTCATTTCACCCTTTTTGGGGTCATTTTATCCCTTTTTGGGGTAATTTCACCCCTTTTTGGGGTCATTTTACCTTTTATTTGCTGTTATTTCACCTTTTTTGGGGTCATTTTTCCCCTTTTTGGGGTCATTTCACCATTTTTGGTGTCATTTTATCCTTTTTGGTTGGGGTGGCTTTTTCGGGGGTCCCCCCTCAGGGGTACCCCCGGGGGGGGCTCCCCAAAACCCTCTCCAGGTATTTCTCCACCTGGCGGTCCCTCAGCGGGGGCGGGGGGCGCCGGGGCGGGGCCGGCAGGAAAGTCCTGGCCGGGATCCTGGGTTTGGGGGGCCGGCCCAGCTTGGGGGGGCTCTCCTCGGGGGGCGCCGCCGCGCCCAGGCCGGCCATGGCCAGCCCGATGCCGGCCTCCTCCTTGCGCTTCTGCTCCACGTCGTGGATGATGTCCACCACGTCGTCGGCCGGCAGGTGCAGCCTGCTGGACAGCTCGATCAGCTGGTCGATGGTGCCGGGGTCCAGCTCGTCCACCTCGGCCGGATCCTGCGGCGACTCCTCCTCGGAATCGCCCGCCTCCGGCGACGCCGCCTCGGCCGGCAGGTGCAGCCTGCTGGACAGCTCGATCAGCTGGTCGATGGTGCCGGGGTCCAGCTCGTCCACCTCGGCCGGATCCTGCGGCGACTCCTCCTCGGAATCGCCCGCCTCCGGCGACGCCGCCGCGGCGATCCGGTTGCGGTGGCCGCGCGCCGGGAGGATCTCGTTGTCCTCCAAGCCGCCGTTGCCGTCCAGGTCGTTGGCGGTGCCGGCGAAGCCGCCCCCGATCTTGAAGGCGCCGTTGTCCCCCAGGTCATCGTCGGCCTTCAGGGACCCCCCCAAGTCGTCGCTGGCGCCGCCTCTGAGCTTGAAGCGCCGGTTGACCTTGAAGACCTCGTTGGCGTCGTTGGCGTCGTAGGCGCCCTTGTAGCCGTCGAGGTCGCCGCCGAGGCCGAACCTGTCCTTGGCCTTGTGGCCACCGAGGTCGCCGTTGAGGTCGAACCTGTCCTTGGCCTTGTAGCCCTGGTGGCCACCGAGGTCGTCGTTGAGGTCGTTGCCAAAACCAAACCTGTCCTTGGCCTTGTAGCCATCAAGGTCGTTGCTGAGGTCATCGTTGAGGTCATTTCTGAGGCCAAACCTGTCCTTGCCTTTGTAGCCACCAAGGTCATCGTTGAGGTCATTTCTGAGGCCAAAGCTGTCCTTGCCCTTGTAGGTTTGGTGGCCGTCAAGGTCATCGTTGAGGTCATTGCCGAGGCCGAACCTGTTCTTGGCCTTGTAGCCACCAAGGTCATTGCTGACGTCATCGCTGACGTCATCGTTGAGGTCGTTGCCAAGGCTGAACCTGTCCTTGCCCTTGTAGCCACCAAGGTCATCGTTGACGTCATCGCTGAGCTCATCGTTGAGGTCATCACCACCAAACCCATCCTTCCCCTTATAACCACCGACGCCATCACCGCCGAACCCCTCCTTGCCGTCCCCAAACCCTTCCTCCTCCTCCTCCTCCTCCTCCTC